GACTGCCTTGTCTAACTCTGCCCTCCTCTGAAAAAAAAAATGTACTTGGAACCCATTCAAAATGTTCCATTTTGGCTAAATGTGGAAGGAAAAGGAACATTTTGTGTTTTGCTTTGCTTTCTGATGTCACCAAGAAAAACACGGAAGGACACGATAAAGAACAGGAAACAGGAGAGGAAAAAGTCAAAAATTAAAAGGCAATAGCCTTTTTTTTTTAGCTTTCCAACACCAAAGAGGAAAGAAAATTTCAATTTAATAAAATACTAGCCACTTTTAACAAAAATCAGTGCTTGATACTCAAAATTTCAAACTAAAACCAACCAGAGCACAGAGATTTCTTCATACACCCTTCGATTTGGCAACGACCGTAACAGAACAAGGGGATGACACAGGGAACCAGTTGCAGAAACCTCAAATGCCTGGCTATTTTTTTACTAAAAATTAAACAACGAAGAGGCCACACACTTACCTCCAGGGTAAACTCTTGCCTTCTCTGACAACTACACCGAGACCAGGCTGCCCACAAGCTCTCAGCTGATTTAGAGCATCGTGCTACGAGCCGTCACTGCACGGCGTGAGCCTCCCCCATGCAAAATCAATTGCAACGGGGACGTCCCCGCATGCCCCACCGCTGGCACCGGCTCCTCGTTCCCAGCTGGTGCGAATCTGCTGGGCGCGGAGGAATGCACCGGCTGATCTGCCCCAGGTGAGGGTCTGGCCCGTTGCAGGTCGGAGCTGTCAGTACCAGGAAGATGTCAGGACACTATAATGAATTTGCAGACAAAGTAACCAGAATCGATGAAACCAGATGGAGCTGGGAAAACCTCAGCGCCAGGGAGGGAGGAATTTATTCTCAGCTCCACTCAGCAATAGAACAAAACAAGCTGTGAGTTACAGCCCCTGCTTTCCTGCTTTTTCCCTCAAATGCCTTTGCACTTTTCTCTCTAGGTGGGTTTAAGACCCCAAACCTCCCTCTTTCTCATATCGCTCCTGAAGACCTATCTCTAGTATGATTTCTGGGATGCCAGCAGCTGATCAGTTATAGAAAAAACCCTTCCAAATGTCAGGTTTGTTGTTATATTCACTGCCAGAGCCAGCAAACTCGGAGACTTCGGCTGCACCTTGCAGAAACAGGCTCTCAATTATTCAGAGAGATATGTGCAAGCATCACCGATATCTCACAGCCACAGGGTTATTCCTGGGATTATCCTATAGACCACCTGCTTCTAGCCAGGCAAGCAGCATGCACCCACCACTGCCAGATGCCAGATGTCCAAAGACCTCCAACTCAAAGTCAGTGTGTTTTTGTGCCCAGGTAGGTTGCAATTAATCTGCTTAAAACTTGGATGGGCCCCTTTAGTTGAGAGCACAAAGTGGGTGAAATGAATGTAAGAGCTCCTTGAAAAAGAGCCTCACCACAACTGCCCCAACCTTCCCACTGAATAAACCAGGCAGTTGCTTGCAGTTTCTTCTACAGTGGTGGGATGGGTCCTCTTCTAATGGTTCTCTTTGTCTTTGCAAAACAGAATATTTTGTGTTCTGGCATCAATACTTCATTTTCTTGCTGACACCTAACACCGAAGTCTAGTAGCAGCACAAGTATGAAGACAACAGCTATGTTCCTTGGTCTGGTTTCTGCCAATGACATGGCATGACATGGATTTGAAATTGCCAACAATGCTCCCATACTCATTATGTTCATCTCCTGGAATTTCTTTTATGCAACACTTTTCAGATGGTATATGAACAACCCAGCCAGGTCTTGGAAGCTCCAGCCTAGTGGTTTATTTCCAGGTCCACTCGAGCACCAATAGTTTTTAACTTGTATATTGAGATGCTCTTGAAATTCTACCCTGAATGTTCATTTATGCAGATGACATTTGCTCAGACATTCAGTGTCAAGCTTTTTCTGCCCTAGAGGACATCTAGAATTCAGATTTGGCAGCTATATGCAGCTACCGCTGTAATTGGCACTTGAAGCTGAACATTTCAAAATCAATTTCATGCATTTTCCACCTCCACAGCGCCTGCGAGACGTGGGAGCTGAGCGCCTCTCTGACTGAGTGCCCAGTGAAACGTGATCCACATCCAGCCTATCTCAGCATTGCTCTCGATAGACTCTGGTTGTACCATGACCATCTGATAACAACGCCTGCAAGAGTCAAGACCTGCCAGGCTTAGACCTGGGGATCTAAAGTTTAAACCCTGCAGACATCTGCTCTTCTCTCTGCTGGTTGGCAGCAGACCATGGTACTCATTTGGGACCTGGACCTGCCTGTTCCTCCCCTACTTAAATCAAAATGCAATTTCATGCAAACATGTCAAGGTCGCTGAATCTACCTTTCTACCCTAGCTCCCCTGTGAAATAACAGCGCTCCAACATGCAACGGGTATTGACCCTTTCACCAAAACCTCTGCATGATTTGCAATCTAAGAAACTGTCTTCTTGCAGGACTCGGCAAGCTGCAAGCGTGCTGTGGCCACGCAAACGACACAGCTCGACTTGTCCATGGCTGCTAGAAAAAGGTGGCACAAAAAGAAGCGAGAACAGAAGAAGGAAATTCTGAATAAATTAAGAGAGAGGATGTTAAAGAAACATGCATTTGCACATTTTCAGAAGAGCTGTCCCAAAGATGGACTTCCTCTTTCGTGGGGATTTTTTTGAAATTCAGAATGGGGTAAATTCCTTTCTCAGAAGGAGAAGCAAAATCTTTATAACATTACTGCAGCAAGAGAAGATATGGATGGAAAAACATTCTGAAATGGTTAAAATGTTTAGAAAAGCAGGAACAAGAGCCTATACTTCCAATCTGTAAGTTGAATTGATGCTCACAGGATGTACAGGCCCCTGCTTTCCCTTGAGGTGCCCCCCGTGGGAAGGTTGAAGCCTCAAAACCCCAAGCAATCCCAGTGCTTTGGAGCTTTGGAGACAAGGTTCCCAAAAGGTTCCAGTGCTGTGGCAAGAATTAAACAATCCTGGCTACCGCTGGCCATCCCAAGGCTTCAGGGTCCGTTTCCACCACGTGGCACCTGGGTTTTCCTCGGGTTTGCAGGCTCCCAGCTCCCCCCAGACATGCACCCCAGAACTAAACATCACGGAGACCCAGGAGCATCCTTGCTCTTTTGGGGGAATATTTGCAATTTGGGTTGGGGTAACCCATTCCTGCGGTCCGTCCTGCAGTGCTAAAGGGAGCTCCAGTCTGCGAGGAGGTGAGTGGAGCAAACAAAGGAGAGCAAATTGAAAGCTGCTTTCCTCCCAGCAGTGCTCTCTCCGAGGGCCAACACCAGCAAGGCTGGGCGCAGGTGGCTTTTAGCAGCTCAGAATTTGCCATCTGACCGTTTTGATTTAAATTCCACTTTCCATCGCCTGCGTTTAAAGTTCGGTGCATGGGCTTTTACAGCAGCAGTAATGAACCTGGAGTTCAAACAGCACATGGCGAGATCAAAAATTGCCAGAGCGGAATGTGTCCCACAAATACAAAGCATGGCTTTTCATTCATTATTTTTTCCTTTACAGAGAGGTTTTACAAGCTGTTTATTTTCTGATACAGTGTTGGCAGACATGTGGTCGGAGGAGAATCAATATCAGCACAGTGGGATGTATTTTCTTAAACGGTTTATAGGGGGGTCTTTGCTTTTTCAAAGGGGGATAATTGAATGTAGTACACACTGTACTTTTGATTTGTTTAACATGAAGCGTGAAATGGGTACAGCTATGATTCTGTCAGTCAGTTTAACTATCCAGCGATTCATTTTGAAGCTAGGCCTCCTCGCGGGGATCGTCTGGCTCGAGGGATGGGGAATTCGCCCAGCATCTTCCCCGCCGAAGCACCAGTTCCAACCCAGGCTGTGCTGGGACCTTGCTGGTCCCACAAAACAAGCTGGGATGGGGGTGCCAGGTGAGCTTTGTGGATGCAAATGGTCCCAGTGCAACGAGGTGTCTTTGTATTCAAACGAACACCGAGGTTGACTTCACGGCAGCAAGGCAGGGAGCAGGGATGAAGACTCAGGGTTGGGTGGCTGAAGGGGTTTGAGCTTTCAGGGAGGTGTCACAAAAGAGGACCAAGCCTTGAAAGCAGGGGTTGTCCCTGCTGACCACACAGACACAACGATACTCCTCTTAATCTCCAGGTGATGAGCAGGAAATTTAAGTGAATAGATCTCCCTCCCCTAAAGCATTCCTTGAGAGCCAGTCCAATTTTCACCAGCGTTTTTCCATATATGCACCCCAACTCCATCCGTTTCCTTCCCTCTGTGCAACTCCCAGTCCACATCTGATCATCGCATTGCACTAACTTATCTAAGGAACACCAAAAGCAACAGCCAACTACAGACGTAGGAATGAGGGGCCAAAATCACATCCACTTTTAACTCCCCGACCGAGTACACAGCTCTTTTATTAGACCAAAGGCATCTTCACTCTGAATCCTAAACCAAAGCTTCTCTTCCCATCTCCACACCAATGGTACATCCCAACCCATATTCCCCTACATGTCTCTTACCCCTTCAGGCACTCGAGGCAGCTCCTTCCTTTCACCCCTCTTTAGCCCTTCTGTGAAGTTATTGTACAGCACGATGCCCGTTATGCTATGCTGGAGCCCTAACTGTCCCATGGAAATGCCATCTCCATCTTTGGAGTAACCCTGTTGTTGAGTAGGCGTCTTGGAAATCCCATGCAACCTGGAGAGTACTTTGACACCGCTGCACGATACGCAGCTGCCTCCAGTCCGGAGGAGTCTTTCCTGGGGGGTCAGTCTCTCCAGACTCTTTATATAAGGCCACCTCTAATTCTGACCCCACAGATGTTATATTCAAAATGTGGATTTTTTTAAACCAATTTCCCCACCTGTCCACAACTTTGTGTTTCAAATAACACAAGGGTAAGGCTGAGCCTTGCATAGCTCCATTTGTGCTGCAGTTGTGCAGGTCTTAGATCGTGCCGTGCATTTCACCCCAGAGTTACTATGAGAAGGTAGAAATGTCTGTCCAGGGACACTTACCTTTTTTGCGATGTAACACATTTGCTCAGCAGGGAGATAGTCAAAGGGGAAGATGAATCTCCAGTTGAAGTTGCCCTCTCCTCCCATAGACCTGTAGTGCACATCTGTCTTTTGTTTGTTCTCCTCGTGGCCAACGAGCCAGCTGCAAAATGCAAACACATTGCATGAAAAACTAGAAACACACCAAGGATTTTGGAATTCACCCAACGTCACAGAGGCCATGAGCAGGTAGTAAAATGTCTCTCACCCCTGTGGATGCCTTGGGCTGCTATCTGTGGGGGTAACCTGGAGCCCGTAGGAGACTTGAGAGGGAATGCAACAGTCCCTGCAGTGTGGGGAGATGAACCAGCGCTGGTGGCAGCAGCCTGAGAAGCTCTGCAATCTCTTCTCCTCCCTCCCCTGAGTTTTATGGTTGTTTCAAAGACTCGACAACGCCTCAAGCTCTGGCTCAAAGTTGTCACTTACTCATCCATAAGCACACATCAGCTTCTAGCCTGCCTTGGTGAGAGCTCCTTTCCCCTTTGCAGCCACCCCAACAAACTGACCTTGTAGTTAGCTCCTAGAGCCAGTCCTGTGGATGAGGCAACCATGCTAAAGGACCAAAGGGCCATTTTTTCCCCTCTATTCTCTGTCGATTTCTCGAAGATTATTATTTGAAAGTCCTAAACGGCCAAGAAGTTCTTCCCCAGGAGAATCCTAGAGTGGCCAGACCCTGATGTGGCCAGGCTGGTCCCCAGCTGCTGCCCTTAGAGGCAGGTCCTCACAGCACAGTTCCTCTCCTGGTCTAAAAGAGCTTGCTGTGGGCACTCTGTAACCAGTCCAGGGGCAAACTGAAAACTTTCCATAACAACTACTTTTTTCCAGCTGTGAGTTTTGCAACTGTCGGGTTTTCATTCTGCCCTCTTTCCCTGTCCAAGATTTTTCAATCTTCAGCAATCAACGAAACAAAACAAAACAATAAAACACATCCATTTGTGTATTTAGAGCCCTTCTGGAGGAAAGCCAGAAGATTCACAGAGAATCTCTAATGAAAACAATTATCTCGTTTGATTGTTTTCCACTTAAATTGAAAATAAGTTTTTTTGCCCAGCTATACAAATTATTCCCTCTTCTCCAGTGCTTGAGAGGAGCACATGACCCACCCCAAATGTGTTGTGGGCGACAGGGAAGGGAGGTCTACTCAAGTTCATCCTACGGTACACATCACATGCACATGTGTTACACGGACAGCGAGGGCTTGGTGGCAGTGGGAATTGTCTGATGAGGTTACACTAATACTTAAATTGTGGCTGGATTATTTGATTTGATCTGATAGGATGCAAATGGGAAGCCTGTGTGTTTATCCACATCCTTCAAAGCTTGGCAGGGATGGTCGCAGGATGCAGTGTGAGCGCCCTCTCCTTGCAGGCAAACAAAAGGACAAATAAATGGTTTGATTTGGGTGCCTCTTCGGCACTTTTTTTTTTCTTGCAGAATTTGCTGCACCCTCCCCACTGCAAAAAGGAGGTGCCAGAAATCAAAAGCGTTCAAGTCACAGTGTCCCAGAATTAAAAACATAACGTAGGAATGGCCATGGTGACCAACCAAAGGCCCATCTTGCCCAGTATCCTGCCTCTGACCAGGGCCAACACCAGACGTCCAGGTAAGAGTACGGGACTGGGACAAGCACATCCTGATACCTTCCCAACACACCTCTCCAGACTCCAATAATTTGCAGGTCAGAGATCTGAATAAAATAATAATAATAATGATAATGACAGAATATACAAAGTGATTGATGCACAATGCAATTGCTCACCACCCACACTGACCAATAACCAAGTAGCAATTGCTACTTCCTGGAACACGCCTACCATTCATATACTGAGCATGACGTCACATGGTATGGAATACCCCGTTGGCCAGCTGGGCCAGCTGTCCCGGCTGTGCTCCCTCCCCACACTTGTTTTGGTTTTTTAAGCTGAATGTCCTTAACTAACAGGGAACTTAGCACAAACTGAAAACATCAGTGTGTTATCAACATTCTTCTCATACTGAATCCAAAACACAGCGCTAGGAAGAAATTTAACTCTATCCCAGCCGAAACCAGGACATGTTTTTGTACTTAACAGGACTGGGTGAATTTTTGGCCCATTAATTCATCCAGTATTTTTTAAAGCCATGTGACTTAAGGTATCTGCAATATCCAAAGGCAAAGTCAGGTTCTTAAATCTAAGAGGCGACTTTGTTCTCAAAACTCGTACACCTCCCTCTTTGCTCAGCACGAGTGTAAGATTTTGGAGGACCCAGGCCATCCTTTTATTTAGGAACCCAAAAGGGGATGCAGATGAGTTTTAAAGATGCTACATAATAGCACATAAATCTTAGTAGTGGTGGTTGGTTGGAAGGGGATTCTGGAAACTTCTAGTCCAATTGGCTCAAAGCAGTACTGCTTTTACCTTGAAATATCTTGAAAAACTTGCAAGATGATGAATGAAAACCTCCCACCCTGACCTGGTTCAGTGTTGGACCATCCTCTTGGTGAAGTAAAATTTTTATTGGAAATTTCACTATGAAAACAATACAAAAATATCCTCCACCTATGACAGTGACAGAGAGGGCCGTTAACTCAAGAAAACATCTTCAGTTCCTAATGAATATGATTTCCCTGCACTACCACTCTTTTGTCTGCCTACAGCACAAGTCTTTAGGAAGGGAAGGTCTCTCTGCACCCAGTCTTGCACAACCTAAACTCTGTTAAGACCTCTTCGTGCTACTGTAAGACTATCAATAAATAACTGATTGAATTAAATAAAATAAACGGCAACCACCTCAGGCATAATAGAAAAGCTCCTATTTCATTTACCTGCCGAACTGACTCGACAATAATTTATATATTATGTAGAAGATAACATTCAAGAGACTGAGATTCCAGCCCTGGCCTTGCCTAATGGGTAAAATGGAGAATAAACTGGCAACAGCCTCCTCAGGGAAGCACTGCTGGATCTTCTGAAGGAAAGCCACAGGTAAAAGCTCCTTATCCATTGAGTTCACCCCAAAGCAGGCTCCAGCCCCTGCTCAGGAGGCAGCGGTGGATGGAAGGAATGGTCCCCACCAAAGCAGCACCACGCCATGGTGGTGAAGGTCACTTTGCCCACAGGTTCCCCTGTCTGTAGGGCAGATGCTTAAGCCCATGAAGGACCGTTGCCTCCCCTCCCAATAGAATTATTCAGGACTTATCCAGAGCTGCTAGTGATGCAGCCATTTGGGGGGGAAGACGAGGAAGTTGAGCAAGATTTTTAACTCATTTACAGCACTGGGAGATGCTTGGTCATTGGGGATGCTAAAAGCCAGGCGAGGGATATCAGCAAGCGCTGGATGCTCTCGCTTTCCCGTAACCCCCTGCAAGCACTGCTTTTTCAGAGCCCCGAAGTGCACAGAGCAGCTTAGCTGGAGCTGATAACAATGCACTTGATGTGAATACCAGGTAAGCAGCGCGCATTCTGGATTTACAGGAGGAAAATTGGGATTGTAAAAAAGGGATTTACAGTCTGTTTCAAAATCCTACCTCTTCCTGTCCATAAATCCAAAGAACGCACAAAATAAGTAAGTCCCTTGGCTGGGATTGCACCATTTTACACAAGATAAAACATAAATGGAGTCAGGCAGAGAAGGGAATGTGCCAGAGGAGTTACTGCTGGTTGCCACATTTCTGTGTGTTTCAAGGAAAAAAGGGAATTCCAAAAAAAGCAGCTATGCGAACAAGCCAACCTATGTATATGGAACGAGCCCATGGCTGTCCCGGGAGAGGAGCTGGGAAGGAGCCGGCAGTGGAAATGCAGACTACGTGCCCCGATGGCTAGGCTGCTTCCCCACATCTTATCTCTCTAAATGTAAATATTGTCATCTAAGTATCCAAGAGATACAAAGAAAAACTTGTTGTCGTGAAGCGGTTATGAGCCCAGCAGAGACGTGTCTGCCAAGAAGCTGGATCCGTAGCTGGAGAGGTGGGAATGGCCCCTTCATCCCAGTGGGGGTTCATGTCTGCCACAGCAATGTTGATGCAAGGGCCGTGTTAACTCCTTCACTGCTGCTTTTGTGCCTTCAGGCTACGGTACCCGGAGGACGCAGAAGCGGGGTGGCTTACCCTTTGACGTAGATGTCACTCATCTTCTCCCCGGTGATGCTGAGGTCATCGAGGATGACGTCCTTGGTGTTCCAGATGATGCAGCGCAAGAAGAACCTGGACAACCCCGGGAACAAAAGCAACATGAGAGGGTGGAAATCTTGATCCAGAGCCCACCTAGACGGTCTGGTTGTGCTACTCAGCTATTTAGCTGAAGGAGCTAAGTAGTGAATTCTCTTTCTTTGAAGATGAGCCCACATAGATGTTTCTCATCTAGGCAGGTGAATCCCTCCCCATCTGACATCTCCAAGCCCTCTCCTCTCCCCTCACAAACAGAAGGTGCTGAAACCAGCACCGCACTGAGAAATGAAAAACAAATTACCTCTTGGCTTTGCGTGGCGTGATGTTGAAAGGGGGGCCAGGCTGACCCAGAGATTTCGGAAACAGGTCCACCCACATCTGTAGCTTTCCCTGTATGGAAAGAAAGACACATGAAGCCTGGTAAGCCTCCTAACTGGGTTACCTTCACCTCCTCAGTAAGACCTAGTAGTGGAGAGAGAAAATATCAAGTGCTCCCGTGTTCCTTAATTGAAAAGTAAGGTTTCCTCAATGGGAAAGTGTCATTAAGTATTATATTAAAATGATTTTAGTGATAGCTGGGTATATGTTAATGGCTTGCGATATACAAGTGGTTGGTCTGGATAAGCTGAAGGTGCACTCTGGCTTTACTCTCTGTGGCTGACTATCTTTACATAGGGACAGACTAAAGACTAGGTCCATGGGAGGTGTTGGAGAAGCAAGCAGCTCACTTGTTTTCCATGGTGTCACCAGTTGTCACCAGCTGGACAGCTGGTTTATGGGTTTCTGACCACTGGAGTGGAGGACGGGATGAAGAGAGGGAAATCTAATTCCACTTTCACAAAATCCTTCCAGGGAGAGAGCAGCAGAAATGCTGCTGAAATCTCAGGGGGGTGTTTTTAGGTGGTCTCTTCTACTGTAAAACACCAATGGGTGCCAATAAAATATTTTATTGTGCAGTCTCAAGGGTTGGGAAAAAAAAAAAAAAGCCATCCTTTGACAATCAGCCCATCACAGAGGAGCTTGTGGTTTGCTTGCTTTTTGGCAAGAAAATCTTCCATTTCAGCAGAAAACTTTAAAAGCCCAACCTGGCTTTCAGCTCACTGAAAGAGTGAGCCAGCCGATAGAGCCAGCCTGTTCTGTGGCTTTGCAGCGGGTCAGAGCCATGCTTTTGGGAACTGCCCTGAATGCAACATGTACTGAGTCACACAGGTTAATTCCCTGGACCCAGCATCACCCCTACGGATGCTCTTGGTAGAAGCATTGGTGCAGGGCAGACCCTGATTGCTCTGCCCATATGCAACCCCATGTCATGGAGGAACCACCCATGGCTGGTCCAACAAGACCATGACACCTGTACCTATAAGAACAGCACAGACCCACTGGTCACCAGACAGCAGCCATCTCCTGCCTCTAACCATCATTTTCATTGGGTGAATTAACATGAAAAGGTGTTAGAGTAGTCGCCAGTGCATTACTTCTGCCAGCAACTCTCCTCTCCCACCACTGGAGAGGTGGTCTGGTTAAAAATGAACCTCGGAAGGGAAATGGCTGAAATGGTGCAGATGAGTGGCTATGCACATTTACACCAGCTGCAGAGCCAGTCTCTCGAAACTGCTTTTGCAATGCAACTGGAACATGTATGACAGATGATAATTAATCATTTTGTTCTTCAGGAAGCAGCATTTTTTGATCCAAATGCATAAACTACACATGTGTTAATCAAGGAAAAGGGGTTAGGCTAAACACAGATACCTGGATTTTGACTGGTTTTGGATGGAAGCCCGTTTAGTTTTCATTTGGCTTAAAAACATCTAGTCTGCAACAGTACTAACACTTTACACCTCCAAGAGCGGGTTTATGCTGCAGAAATCATGCTGCTGCATTGCCAAAGGAGCCTGCGGTGTCATTACCATTATAGAATAATTCTGCATTAAGACTTTCAGATCAGAAATTACTTCCCCCCCCCCAAAAAAAAAAAAAAACAAAATTGCGAGCAAATGCTGATGAAAATGAACTCAGGAGGCTGGAATCGATCTCCCCAAGCACCCTAAGGAAGTCAGCCATGGAGCTGAGCTCCAGCCAGTGCTCTGCTCCGCCCCAAAAGCTGACTCTCCTCCCTGGGAACAGCCGGTCTCCTGGGGCGGGTATGCCCAGCACAGCTCCGCAGCGAGCCAGCCACCTGGTTAGCACTGGTTGGGAAGAGGTGATGCTCTTGATCTTGCCCTGGACACGTCACACCACCCACCTGCTCGATTTCTGGCTGGAGAGGGCTGTAAAGAGGTCTCGTCTCCACATGCTCTGGCACCAGCCCTTGCTTCCGCAGCGCGTACAGGGCGAGACGCTCCTCCACCGGCCCCAGGTGGGGGTTGAGGGGTTTGCCATCCTCTGCCACAGAGCAGACAAATGTTGTGGTTTAACCCAGCAGGCAGCCAAACATCACACAGCCGCTCGCGCGATCTCCCCCCACACAGTGGGATGGGGGAGAGAATCGGAAAAAAAAAAAAAATTTGTGGATCGAGATAAAGACAGTTTAATAGAACAGAAAAGGAAGGGAAAATAATAACAATAATAATAGTGGTAGAATATACAAAATGAGTGATGCACAATGCAATTGCTCACCACCCGCCGACCGATGCCCAGCTCATCCCCAAACAGCGATCGCTACTTCCTGGACCACACCTCCTAGTTTATATACCAAGCATGATGTCACATGGTATGGAATACCCTGTTGGCCAGTTGGGCCAGCTGTCCTGGCTGTGCCCCCTCCCAGCTTCTTGTGCACCTGGCAGAGCACAGGAAGCTGAAAAGTCCTTGACTAGCGTAAGCACTACTCAGCAACAACCAAAACATCAGTGTGTTACCAACATTCTTCTCATACCAAACCCAAAACACAGCACTATGCCAGCTACTAGGAAGAAAATTAACTCTATCCCAGCTGGAACCAGGACAACAAAGAACAGTATTACGCCACGCCATGGCCACAGCTGTGCAGGGCCAGATTCTGACTGCCCCGTGGGAGCTCCACAAGGGAGCAAGCACGAGCCCACCAACCTCGTTGCAGCCAGGAGCGAGCAGGAGGAGCGCAGCCTCCATTTGCAAATCCACCATCAGCACAAACCCTCCGGGACACAGGGCAACGTGTTCCCAGTGGGACACGTGGGCAAACCACTGTGCAATGGGACAGGGACCTGTGGGGAGTCTCATGCAAGTCTCCCCCCAGATCACAGCAAGTGAAACATTGCAAGGACCACGTTGAAGCACATGGAAAGGAGAGTCCAGTCTTTTATTCTGCTCAAGGGTTCAGGCCCCCTAAAATCATGGCGGTTGGGGCTGCAGGGTCCCCAGCAGCCCTCCAGCCCATGCTGCTGCTCGGCTGCCATTCCCACCCCCAGCAGAGGTTTATCTAATGTGTGATCAAAGCTCTTCAGGGAGAGGAGACGAAAGGGTTTGCTCTGGTGCAGTTTGCAAGCACGTGTGTGATGGATGTTGTTTAAATCCCATCATTTAAAACCATCCAGGATCTTCAGCCTGGCAGAGAGGAGCGCAGCGGGAATGAGCTCCCTGCAGGGTCCCACTTCTTCTCTGCTGGGTTCATGGTAAAAGACAGAAATGAGAGGAAAAGGATGGCCATGCAGGAACCACCAGCTTGATGGCCAGTCATAGTCCCTGCTCCGGCCCTCACTGCTCCCAGTGGGGCATTTGTCGTCTTTCATCAAAATGCACCAGCACACAACAGCCACAGCAAACACCGGGCCGTCCGTGAGCAGAGCTGACACCATCTCCAGCTCCTCAAGGAGGACATCACCCCCAAGACACTGCCTTTCAGCCACAGCATTTCAAGGCCATGCACCTTCGAGGACCTTTGAAATGAAATGCGCTCCATAAATATTATTACAGCTCTGCAACTCTCAGGTGATATATCCCAGCTCCTTTCTTGGCAATATCTTGAAGTGGTTAACTTCAGACATATGGGCTATTTCCCAAGCAGTGGAAACCTGGCATGCGTGCGTGTGTGTGTGTGTGTGTGCACAGGAAAAAGAAAAAGCCCCTCTCAGAAAACAACAAATGTGGGGGTTATGGAATAATGGTCCGGGTGCAGTGCTTGTAAAACCCATGCTCTCGTGTTTAATAGCTTCACTTTATACCGCCAGGTTCAGATCTGACATTGCTCTGCGAACACAGCTGGTTTCCAGATCTCCTTGAGGTCAAGCATCAGACTTTGTTCTGTTTTTTGAACTGATTGCCATTAAAGCAGAGGAAGGTGAAAGGCAGGGGCTGGGAGAGGGGGGAAGACCCCGCTCGGTTTAACACCTTTCCAGCCCTTGCTGAAAACCTTTCACATAACAAGAGGCTGCAAAGGAGCCGTTGCTTCCCCACTCCTCCTCCTCCTAAGAGGAGAACCATGAATTTGTGCCTTGATTCCCAAGAGCAGGGAGGGGGATCATCCCTGGGCTGTGCCGTCTTGTGCCTCTGCAGGCCAAGTCCTCCTGGATGGCTCTGCAATACTGTAGTGGCCTTAACAAAGTCAAACTGCAGCTCCTGGGCCATATAGTGGGCTTTCACCTCCTCCCTGGGCCAAAACACCCCTTCCATGCTTTAAAGCAGACTTTTCTCTAAAAGGCAAACTTCTGCCCCCAAGGATGCCGGTCAGACGGGCATGAGCTGGTGCCCAGGGTATTGCAGGTGTCAGCGTTGGTGGTTTTTTGTGCAAACAAGAAAATGCCTCCCCAACACTCGGTGATATTTTCTCCTTGCTGGCAGAGGCTGGTTTTGCACTTCCAGCTAGAGCACACCTCGCCCCCGAGGCACGAGCCCTGGTGCGATACGCTGGGCACTGTGTGTATGATATTGTCTCCCTCTAGTGACTCCAGCCCCAAAACACACAGATGCAAACGGCACAACTGCTCCTCCAGCCCAAGCGGTAGCTGGAAGATCAGGCTGGAGCCTCTCTGGCTGCGACGGACTTTGTTGCTCCCAGCCTGCGTGTATTCAGTTTGCTGCAAGCAGCAAAGGGCCGTCACTCAGGGTCAAAGTTAACGTGGCTGGATTGCAGGTCTGGGTTCAACTTTGGGGTTTGGTGCAGATCCAGCCGCAACCTGCAGCCTTTGGGGCAGAGCCAAGCTTGGGAAAGGTGCAGAGCCAACCTGGACAGCAAGGTGAGGAGGATGGGGACATGCCCATCACCCAGTCCTGGCCTCCATGATAACCCCCCACCGTGATACGTTCATGACCTCCAACTCCATCCCTTGCTCTGGATAAAGGAAAGCTTTTAAAGGAAACCCCGAAGCAGCCCCGTTACCTTACCCAGTTCAGAGAGAATGTATTCTTGCTCCCTGAAGATGACCCGGTCGGACTTGTAGGTGGGAGCCTTGTAGTTGTGCTGCAGGGAGAAGAGGTGAAGCAGCTGGGAAGGACGGAGTTGGTCTCGCCACTGGTTGGGTCCAGAGCTGAAACCAAACAGGAGGGAAAACAACAACTCAACACATGATAAAACATCTTCCAGCCTCAGCAAGGGGCAGCAGCAGCGTTACACCAAAGAGGGCTGGTCTGAGGAAGGTGTAACCAGCTCCAAGTCTGTGCTCGCCTTGGCCCACTGGTGAATGGGGCTGCATATCGCACACCCCACTCAGCCCCAGCTTGCAGGGCTGGGTGCCCTCACAGCCCCCCTCAGACCCACCAGGTCACCCTTCAGCAGACCCCATGCATGGCGGGGTCCTCACCACGGTGTGCCCAAGAGGCATCAGGGACGTAACAGGATCTCCCCAAGGAGATTTCTGTTATTTGAAGCATTTCATGCTTCTGCAGGAGACCCAGGGCTCAGGGAAGTTCCTCAAATGTGGGGCTTCTCTGGTGTGAATCTGTCTCTCTAGTCAAATCTCTGCAGTGAAGTAGAGCACTGGTCAGGTCCCCCTGGGACAGCCCTGGGACAGCAGACCCGTGGGCTGAGGCATCAGAAGAAGGACATTGAGGTGCTGGAGCGTGTCCAGAGAAGGGCAACGAAGCTGGTGAAGGGCCTGGAGCACAAGTCTGATGAGGAGCGGCTGAGGGAACTGGGGCTGTTTAGCCTGGAGAAGAGGAGGCTGAGGGGAGACCTCATCGCGCTCTACAACTACCTGAAAGGAAGTTGTAGCGAGGTGGGGGTTGGTCTCTTCTGCCAAGTAACCAGCGATAGGACGAGAGGAAATGGCCTCAAGTTGGGCCAAGGGATGTTTAAAGTCGACATTAGGAAAAATTTCTTTACTGAAGGAGTGGTCAGGCCTTGGAACAGGCTGCCCAGGGAAGTGGTGGAGTCACCATCCCTGGAAGTATTTAAAAGACGTGTAGATGAGGCGCTTAGGGACATGGTTTAGTGGGCATGGTGGTGTTGCGTTGACGGTTGGACTCGATGATCTTAAAGGTCTTTTCCAACCTTAAGGATTCCATGATTCTCTCACCCTGGTCCCTATGGCCAGCGCAGCACCGTGCAGCCCTGGCAGCTACAGAGACCCACTGCCTGAGCCCACAGAGGTACCTACATGCAGTAGGTTTGGGGGAGGCCACAGCGTGCCCCGTATTTCGACAGGAACCGGTTCTCCAGGTCTATGACGGTCTCCCCAATCTTCTCATCCTTCGACAGGAGGTCGTAGTCGTAGAGCGTGATCTTCAAGTCCTTCTCCAGGGGCAGAGTGCAGCTCAGCTCGAACATCCTGTGTAGCGGGAGCCGAGAAAGACCCGTGAGATGGAGGTTCATGCTGCTGAGTGCTCCGCGGGAAACAGACCCACACACCATCCCAACCCACCAGTGCCAGGAAGGGCAGTACACCCACTGCGCATCTTTGCCGCGTTGGTCCAGTACTATTGGTCCTGTGTTGTACTGGCTTAGCTTGTGGATATGCACTAAGCAAGCACGCTTTGGGTTTCTTTTTGCCTGGTTGAATTACTCTCAAGCAAACTTTGCCCCTGCTTAGTTTCTCCATCTGCTTATTGGACATGATGGTGGTCACTGCAATATCCAGGGAAAAGAGCAGCAGGCGAGAGTCAGGAACGATCATTCATGGAATTTGAAAGGAGGAGAAATGACAGCTTTGGAAAACCATCTGCTCTTTGAGCCCAAAGAGCAAATGTCCAAAACAGGAGACAAGCCTGCCTGGGCCAAGCTTGTGGTCAGCATGAGACTGACCCCCCAAAGCCTCTTCGTCCTCTCCTCTCACTTCTAAGCACCTTTTTTCTGTGCTGTCTCCTCTGCCGTCATTACACCACAGTCCACATACTGACAGGACATAAAGCAAGAGCAAACCTTCCTCTCCCTCTTCAAACAAAGGATGGCAAGAGACAAAGCACCAAGACCCCACCAAAACACAACACCGGTGCATCGTGGATGTCAGCGATGTGGAAGGCGGTACGAGAGGGTGAGCAGGACAGTCCAGGTCTGACCCAGCACTACCAGGGACCCCTCCACCTGCTGCTGAAAGGCAGGCAATGCTGGGGAGAAACACGATGCCCATTCCCACCGCCAGCACCCACCCCGCAGCAGCTTTTAAGGAGGGGAAGTGAGTGATTATGCCACCAATTAAGAGTGCAGGAGGAACTGGGGTCAGCAGAAAGTAATTAGCTAAAGCTGGACGGCAGCCAGCCGCCCAGGGAAAAGCTTGTGAAACGAGACGTTTAATAGCCGCCAGCAGCCAGGACCTCGGTTTTACATCTTGCTTTAAAGACCGGGTGGGAGGTGCAGCGTGCTGTCTAGACGGCCTCTGGCCAGGAGCCAGCCTTGGCGAAGGAGGACTTGCTCTGCCAAGCAGAGCTCACCAGGGTCTGGCTGTGGGCTCTGCCACAGGGCAGCAGGTCCTGACCCACCAGAGACCAGGGTTCCCTCATGCTAGATGGGGAGCAACCACCGTAGCAAAGGCAGAGCTGCCACCTCCATTTGGCAGAAGAGGAGGAAATGGGTTGTCTAATGCACACTGTCCTCCGTGGTCTCACCAGTATCACCCTCACCATCCCTCTCCCTTTTCCTCCATCCTTGCAGACGGTGTATATCCCTCTCCGTCTTGCTTTGTTGGGAAGGTGTCTCACCATTGACATCCTGAGCTGGCGAGAGCCACCTCAGAAAACCAGCTGGACGTCATGTGGAGTAGGGCTTGACCCCGTTTGTGCTGCAGCATAGCCCCCTACATCTAATCCCGGCTCTTCTGGGAGCCTATCGGCACGTGGAGGCTGAGCACCAGGTTTTCCTCTACCTCCCTCCACTTTGCCTGGTCCCTCTGGTGCTTTCTGCCTCTGATGAATACTTTTTTCTGAAAACAATGTTATCTTCTGCCTTTTATCGGAAGTTTGAGGCCCTACGGCAATGCAAACAACTCAACCAGCCCATATCAGATTTAAAGATAATTTTCAGGGCATCTGATTTTGAGGTGTCCCATGCCACAGCCTAATCAAACAGGCCTCCATTCATCGTGTCTTTTCTTCAGACTTTTAACCAAAGCGCCTAAATGAGGAGCAGAGTTTCCCCAGACTTTCTCTACCATAGCTGGGATGAGGCAGATGCCTCCACAAGGGAATCTCAGGTCTAAACAACCCTCCTGATGACTCTATTGATGACAGAGCAGACCCATGCTCCACAGCTCAAAAGTCCCAGGGAAAAGACGAACACGAGCCATGGTGGGTAGGACGGTGGTCGAGCCAAGCCAGACTCACTTCAGCAAGGTTGGACACGAGGCGAGAGCATGCCATGGGAATCACAGAATGGTTTGGGTTGGAAGGGACCTTTAAAGGTCATCTAGTCCAACCCACCTGCAATGACCAGGGACGTCTTCAAGGAGATCAGGTTGCCCAGAGCCCCATCCAACCTGACCTTGAATGTAGGTTGGAATGGGAAGCTCTGGCTGGCCCAGCCCCATTCCCTCAATATGACACGAAAAATCGCACGGACTCCAAACTGAATCAAAACTTACTTTCCAAAGACAGGCTCCAGCGTACAGGGGAGGTAATTTTCTTGGTCATTTATGGATTTCTTTCCCACTGAAACCTTCACATAGGGATCGCACTAAAGATGATCATGAAAATAAATGCAAGAAAGAGTCATTGCACAGCAGTATTGATGGCAAAGGAATAACTCTGCCTCCCCTCCTCCCAGCAAGCAGGATCTTCCACCACCCTTGGCAAAGACCTATTTTCAAGGATAGGACAGTCTGACCATTAACTCCTTACTACAAATCTGTGACCATCGGCAAGATGCACTGCAGTTCCTTTTTGAGGATAACCGAAGGACCAGTTAGCAGTGCGGGAGAAGAGTCCAAGCCCTTCTGAGGCCCATGGGATGGAAAAGCAATAAAAGCATGAAAAAAACTATTTATGGCTTCTTTGATGGATTGGGCTTGCTCTGAAGTCCTCAGGATGTTCCCGTTCTCATCTGAGTCACCTATTTTGGGGTTCCATAGAGGTAGTAATTTTTAAAGTTTGAGGTCTACTCAAAAATAAATTTACAAATGTAGGGGACTAAAACATCAAAGGAAAAACATTTTGTTTCAAAAAATGTGGTTTAAAACCATTTATTTCCAAGATGCTGCAACAAATTTAAAGAAAAATAAAATGGAAGCATACTTTAACATAAAGCCCCATTGTTCATCTAAAAATTGTATCAGATATTTTTACATTTTTAGCAAGTTTTTAAGCTCTCTCACAACTAAAACTATTCTGGGAAACCAGCATAAATTTGAAAAGTGGTTAAACTAACTCGAGTCAGCTTTTTTGCCAAGGGAAGAAAAAAGAAAAATAAATAATTTCACCTAAAAGATGTCACCCAGCTTGAGCCCTGTACCTAGAGGGACCCACCATCTTTCTCAGCTCACATAAAAATAAAAAAAAAAAACACCAAACACAAATGGGAAATATATTGGCTAGTTATGCTCCCTGGAAAAAACACCCAGGCCAAGTTCCTCACCACTTTTCCTTGACTTGTAGATTTTTTTAAGAAGCAAAGGATGGAAAAGCAGTGCTAGGGAAGGTCTGCAGTGTGAGGATGGACTGGCCATCCAGGGCTCTCCTTTTGCCTCTCCTTGACTGTGATGAGCTGTAGGAGACATCACAGCATAGGGGGAAAGACTGTGGGTCAGACTTGGATTGGTTTCGGTTTTCAGTGGAAAAAAAAAGCATTTTTTTCTACTCCTTCTTTTTGATCTGCAGGAGTCTTTTATGGGAGATTTCTAAGGAATTGAAAACTTTCATTCCAAGTCCATTTTGAAAAACTGGGCAGCTGAAAAAGCAGGGGGTTTTTTGTTCATGTCAAAATATTTCCCATACTTTTTAAAAAATTTTTCCCTATTTTCCAGTGGAACAAAGAATGTTGAGAAGGATTTTTCCCTGAGTTTTTTTGCAAAGTGAAACAAAATGAATATTTTCATCTTGAACCAACACAATTTTCTTTTTGCACTGAATTTTTCTTCCAGACTGGCAAAGCTTTGCAAAAAGCAGTCATGTGAAGACATGATTTTGTTTCCTTCGGCACCAAGGTAAAAAAAAAAAAAAAAAAAAAAACCTCATTTAGCTATTTTAACAAGCCCTACTGAAAAATCCCTCGGGATGCAGGAAGAGTTGATTCCTGGGATTCCCAGATGTTGCAATGGAGGCAGAAAGAAGATTTTTTCCTTTTTGCTGTCACCGTTGTTTCTAAATTTTAAGCCATATATACAAATTTTGATCAATTAGGGCTGACCTGTTGAAAGAGCCCACGCCATGAGCCAACACTGAGGTCCACCAGAGCTTTCCCCAGCAGGATACCTTTCCATTGGCGTCCTTGGGCTGGAGGTCGAAGGCCCGGATGATGTAGACCCTGACAAGACACTCCTGGGGTCCTCTGGCCGGCAGCTGGTGGAACTGCCGAGGTGGCACTGGGACTCGCGGGTCATCCGGGAGGGGGTAAATTTTGAACGAACCCTGTGAAGGACAGACGTGTTCAGCTGCACTTGCACTTGCACACCCACACAGGTGTGCAACAACGGTCTGGATGGTTGCATAGAATCACACAATCATAGAATGGTCTGGGTAGGAAGGGAACTTTAAAGGTCATCTAGTCCAACCCCCATGCAATGACCAGGGACATCTTCAACTAGATCAGGTTGCTCAGAGCCCCGTCCAACCTGACCTTGAATGTTGCCAGGGGTGGGGTATCTACAACTACTACAATGCAGGGGACAGAGCCCAGATCCTGACCCTCTTCTAGCTACTAGACCAGACCACGACCTGTCAGGCTCTTCATGGTCGAGGGAGCCAGGAGCAGGGTGGCGAGCTGCCTGTATCATTCATCCCTTGCCTGAACATAGATGCAAACTCTTTTATAAGCCTGCACAGAGCCACTCCAGCTTGTTTGTCCTTTACCTCTTCTACTTCACTGTTCTTTGAGCCTTCACGCTATTAAAGAGGTGTGAAGGAGCCTTGTTATGAATCAGCCCCCCAAAGGTTTAGGCTGAGCCTTTCTCTGCAGGGACAGTTTTAAGGGTTCCTGAATGAGGCAGCTGGTTCCTGAGAGAGGGACGGGAAGAGGACAGAGAAAATGCAAAAATTTACAAGTGTTTTATTCACCAGAGATTATTTCCTCCCTGTGAAGTGGCAGGAATCAGTCTCTGGGTATTGTTTGGGGGAGGAGAGTGCTGAACAAGAGCAGGAATTAAAAAAAAAAAAAAACACCCAGAAAAATTTAATCCCTCTTCTCTTGCAAACAGGCTAAAGGTTAAAAAGAGCAAAAGATGCATCGCTGCTCTGCACTCCACAGGCACCTCCAAAGGGAGAGCTCTGAGCACCGCCTTGGCGAGACCATCAGTGCTCACACACGCTCCCACCACCGCCCCAGAGGAAGAAGATGCTCCATCGCTTACATCCAGCGATGGGTTGTTGCTGGAGGATGACGACACAGCCTAGACTGGGTTTGAAGCATGCAAGGCACTCACTGCTGGGAATACAGCAGCCAGACCTGCACAGGGAGGTTGTTCAGACTGGGCCCAGTGGTCTGCTTTTATGGCCCATTTCTCACTAAATTCCTACCCAAAAATAGTCAGTTGGCATCATCCAATGCAGCAGCAAGACCTTCCACCCAGCCGAGTGTGTTCCTGGGTACAGGTAGACAGAGAGACCATCGCACCTTGAACTCCCCCACGACAGAGGGGTCGTCATTCGAGTCCTGCGACCGGCCGCGATACAGCTTGAAGGTGCGGCAGAAGTCAGAGAGATGCTCGAAGTCCTCCATGTTCTCCAGCTCCGCCTCATAGACCTGGAGAGGGAGAGACGGGGGGCGAGGGCAGGGACTGCTCCCAGGCAGAGGGACTGCTCCCGCACACCAGCAGCGTGTCCCCACCGATCTCGGACATGACTTGACCCAAGCTCCACGGTCTGGGGGAAATACCACCCACTGGGACAGACTCCTGGGACCTGTCACCCTTGGTGCCCCCCACCCAGGACAGTGATGAAGAACAGATCTTGAGCAACCCTACAATAAATAACAGCACATCACAGAAGACCCAGACTAAGCCAAGGTGTCACAGAGGATTCTTCATCAGCCAAAGAGACCTTCCTGCTGGGAACGTTTTCCTTAAGACCAGGCAAGGCCTTCACAGAATCATAGAGTCATAGAATAGTTTGGGTTGGAAGGGACCTGTAAAGGCCATCTAGTCCACCCCTCCTGCCGTGGGCAGGGACATCTTCAACTAGATCAGGTTGCTCAGAGCCCCGTCCAACCTGACCTTGAATGTTCCCAGGGATGGGGCATCTACCACCTCTCTGGGCAACCTGGGCCAGGCTTTCACCACCCTCAGTGTAAAACATTTCTTCCTTATAGCTAGTCTAAATCTCCCCTCTTTTAGTTTAAAACCATTCCCCCTTGTCCTGTCGCAACAGGCCCTGCTAAAAAGTCTGTCCCCGTCTTTCTTATAAGCCCCCTTTAAGTACTGAAAGGCTGCAATAAGGTCTCCCCGGAGCCTTCTCTTCTCCAGGCTGAACAACCCCAACTCTCTCAGCCTTTCTTCACAGGAGAGGCATTCCATGAGGTATTCCTCATTTTAGTCCTATTTGGGCTCCTGCATTAATTTTAGCAATTCTTGTAACAGGGTACCTAAATCTCCCTCTTCCCTAAGCAATCTCTGGCATTTCTTGTTGTTCCCAAGCACTTTTCAAGGTGGCAGTTCCCCCCCTCCTCTGCCACTTAGAAAAGTGACAATTTCTTGAAGGCTGCAAAGTGGAAAGTTACCCGAAAGCATTTTACAAGAAAGCTGAGTTTTCAAAATAGTTATTTTTTAAAACAAAAGTACCTGCTCTCAGCAGAAAATGGTCTAACTTTTTTTTTGTCCCAGAAGAAAAAAAAGCCTAAAGACTCAAAAAAATCAAAGCTTGTGGAAAAACACCATGGAGAGTGCAGGTCCAATGAGCCAGAACCAGCCAAAGCCACTTACCTTCAGGGTGTCAAAGCCCTTCTCTAGATAGCAGCCACACTTTTCCCTCTCTCCTGTGGAAGCATAAAATTTGCTCCACCAGTCAATGAATTCTTCCTCCTGGCGGCAAGGGATACCAAAGTTACACATCTCCACGAGCAAACCCCAACGATCAATGACAGCAGCATCTCCCATAATTGCTGGAGGTGAACTTCTGCCCTGTGCACCAACCCCATGGCACAGCCTGGGTTTGGTGGGTCTCTGTCCTGCAGAGGCGATGAAGCTATCATGAACCCAACCTGCAGCTCCTCACTCCCTAATTTCAAGGTGCTTTTGGGATGCTTCCAGCCCAAATCCAGCTCTTGCAACCACAGCAACACCATGAACCTAGACCTGTCAGCAGAGAGGATGATTCTCCATGGGAGGATGAGGTAGAGCTCACAAGAAGACATCTGCAGCATTTTTAGGCCAGGGGCAGATTTTGGCCAGTTTGGGTGGTGGTCTTCCCAGGACCGCAGTGTAGGACCACACAGTGGATGAGACGAATTAACTCTTGTGCTGACATGGTCCTGACAGCCTGAAATTCAGGGAGGACGTGAGGACTGCTCTTAAACTCAGCCCCCGGTTTAGGCTTTGCCTGGAAGGTTTTGGGGTTTCTGGGACAGGGATTGCCTTTCTGGTTTGTGGCCCAGCACCACCCAACCTCTCCATCCAAACAAAGCACATGGGCAAACAAATAAAAGCATATACTTCCGCTAAAAAAAAAATGGTCCTCAGGCGCTGCACCTCTCTCAGGAATAATGTAACTCTCTTCTCATTGATATTATACAAAGAAACAGGCAAATTTCTTACAACCTCAACCTCACAACCTCACAGCCCACAGCCGCAACGCAATTAAAGAGCATTTGCCTCGTCTGCTATGTAAACTGGATTTCAGCTCCGAGGATGCTGTTCCAAGAAGAAAGCCGGCTGCCGGCTTCAGCAAATGTATATATTTTATAAAAGCACCATTTTTGAAATTTATACAAGCAAAGATGAAGGGGCTTTGACTGTGATTCATGAAACATTCCTGAAAAATAATGATGTCTTATTTTAGAAGTCCACAAAATTCCATCACACTGACCTAATGGAGGAATCATAATAGAGGTTTATTGGATTTATATTTTAAGCCAACGGTGCAGGCTTTAAATTGCTGTCTTGAATAGACATTGTTTTTAATAGAAATATTACATAAATTAACTGAGGCCTCTGCTGCCTCCCTTTTTTTGAAAAAAAATTTTGCCTTTCATCGCTTCCCCTGTTTTATTGTTTAAAAAGCTACACTCTGACCATCATGGCTTTATTACGACATTCCACAGGTACTGAGTTACAAAGAAAGCACTTAAACTAATCTGACGACTTACCCATGGTATCTTCTGCAGCCCCAAGACAAAGAATTTGGTTAGATATTTTTGCTGATTTCTACTGATGTTACAAA